TGTGTGACTGTAATATGTATACCTGTCTGCTCCGCAGTTGGCACCGATTCTTACGTGCATTCCCGGTACTCCTACTCTCTAAGCATAGTCCCAAGCTCATGGAGGACAGCTTTAGTTTACCCGATCCCAAGAAAAGTCGGAACGCTCAGTCCCTTCAAACTACAGAGCTATTGCCATCGCGGTGCTCTCTAACATAATTAACTCTATTATACACTGCCAAGTCTTGAGGTACCTTATTGACCACTAGCTGATTAGTGACTGCCAATACGGCTTCCGTCGCGTAGAGTCAGCATCAGCAGAGTCACGCAGCTTGTAATTTTCTAATTTATCTGACTCATGCTTGGGTGTAGGCAGTAGAGTCCAAAGGGCACCCCTTTGGCAGTTAGTTTGTCTTCAATCAGTTTGACATAAAAGGCTTTTTTCTAAGCTGCTTTTCTATACTCTTCCCTACTAATAATGACATCGGATCATCAATTTCCCTGCAGATAGAAGCATCAATGTCGTAATGGACGGTGAATACTCCGTATACAAGAAAGTAAATACACAAGACTACGTTCTATAACCTTTTGCCTGCGTTTCTTATGCATATCAATGATATGTGGGCATGTGGTCTGGTTGCAGTGTAAGAGAACCTATTGTGACGCTTCATAATTATTATTAATAAATAATAAATAAATTTAAAATAAAGACGTTTTGAAATGTCTTTGAAATTATATTTTAAACAATTAAAATGATATGAAGTTCAAATATATTCATTTGGAATATTGAATATTATAGTATAGTAAACGCATAAAATTGTCTTTAAAGAGATCTCTAAATTCATTAAAATTCTGTTAAAATAGATAAATAACATTTATAACATAATTCATAAAAATGGTTCAAAAATTTTCTAAATTAATGAAGGTGTTTTTGTATTACTCGGAAAATTTCTGAGTTCATGTAATGTTCCTTATAAGAAGGGCGTTGGCCCAAACCCATGGTAGTGCATATATATGGGGTGGTCGGGTGACCGACTGCTAATAGTACTGTTGCACAATGACTAGTCCTAACATTAGGGACTTATGATAGTAAGGTCTATGGAACTAAAGCATTAATATAGGTCTCTATGATGTATAAGCCTTATAATAATAATAATAAATAAATAATAAAAATGTTTTATTTTAGTAAATCTTTTTTACAATTGATTTGCCAAGGCCTCCCTGAAAGTAATCCTAAGATACTTGTGTTGGGAGTGCCTCGCTCTTCCTATGCAATCATAACACTTCGATTTACATTATAATATCAAAATAGCCAAATTTGATTTAATAGAACAGAGTTACATAATTAATAGAAAGAAAGGAGTTTATGAGAAATGAATACCTGAGTAGTTGAATCCGTCGTGTGTTAGTTTTAGGTTTGTGTGTGTGTGTGTGTGTGTGTGTGTGTGTGTGTGTGTGTGTGTGTGTGTGTGGGTGTGTTTGTGTGAGTGTGAGTGTGTGTGTGTGTGTTTGTGTGTGTTTGTGTGTGTGTGTGTGTGTGTGTGTGTGTGTATATGTGTGTGCGCGTGTGCGTGTGTGTGAGTGTCTCTGTGTGTGTATGTGAGTGAATGTTTTTGTTTATGTGTATGAGCACGTATGTGAATGGTTGTGTATGTGTGCAAGTTTATGAATGTGTCTCACCCACTGATTTGTGTTGTGTATGTGTGATATTTACAGCAGGTTCAACTCTTTCTTACCAAAATGTCTTCCATGTCTTCTTAATTAATAGTGAAGAGCCATTCGGTCAGAGTTTTTCTACACTCAAACATTTGCATGGGGTAAATCCTAATTAATTTATTGATCTTGTTATAGGCATGAGGGGCTTGAGCTATATTTTGTCGTTTAGCAAAAACTGTACGTGCAGGGTATGAGGGAGCCACGATATCGCACCGTCTTTTTATAAGTTTGGTATGGTAAAAAGTTAAGGTTTTGTGATATCTTAATATCATGTGTAAAATATAAAGTTTCCTAACGGAGAGCAGCTTAGATGTTTGGTATAGGGTTTCGGTGGAAAACCTATAGGGCCTACAGTACATTATTTTAATCAAAGATCTTTGCGCCCTTTCTAGATCTATAAAATATGATTTAGCTGCTCCTCCCCATACCGAGATGCAGTAGGTTATTACAGATTGGGCTAGTGCGATATATATATAGAGATAGCAGAGTTATGACTTGAAGTCTTACATGTATAAGACATATAATAGTATGGTCTATGAAATAAAGCAAATATGTGGAAGGTCTCAAATATGTAAAAGCATTATATTGAAATAAATGGGACTTGAAAAGGATTATTATTGCGGCATGTAGATTGCATCACAGCGTCCGAGACCGAGGTAAACTTGGACTCGCTAACCGATGTGTCCTAGACATATCATCTTAGTGGTAAGCGGGTTTGTTGTATCAATACGACTTGCCCGTGGACATCGCACACCCCTACCGTTTGTGGGCGGCGACTTAGCGCATAGGGTTATGATACGTTGGCTATCTTTCGGATAAGGGTGAGTGTTTGGAAGTACTTTTCAGTGCAGCAAGCATACTCAACTCCATGTCTTCGTGCAATAGCGCTATGATACGTGGATTTTTAGTTAACGACATTATCAATTTTGTTACCAAAGTCGATAGGGATCATGTGGGTGTGTTGTGAAGGGGTGCCATCCGTATGATAGTTGTATTGATGCTTACTGCTACTTGCGGTATCGCGTCTTGTGATGGATCTGCGGGTTTGCTGCGCCTGATTCGACGCATTTTGTGGTTGTGGTCGATAGAGGTATGCGGGTGGTGATGTCTACTGGGATTGTATGGGGGACCTTGAAATGGCGTAAGCTCGACGATAGTCGTATTGATGCTTGTTGCGTTCTGCAGCATTGCGTCTCTGCGATGGTTGTTTAGCGGGTCGCTATTCTCAATCGCGCTCTCTGCGTCTTAGTTTGACTCACAACCTGAGTAGTTTTGCCCAAGTTGGGTCCCTTCATTGCGAGTCTGACCTCCATGATATTTTATATAACAACATAATAATATATTTCAGTAAAGTTCCCACCTTTGAATGATAGAAGGCAACATGTTGGTGGGTGAGACAAACATGACCGAAAAATGCATATACTCAACGTCAGTGACACAAACCCTTTCTGATGGCGAATTATTACTAATATCTTATAACTGCCTATTGGCTACATCTATTGGTTGGTGGAGCATATGTGTCGACCTTATGCGGGCGGTAGCTGGAGGCAGAATCTGAGAAGGCTCTGAAGGCTGCAGCCGAAAGCCGCGCAACGTGGGACTCCATTCCCTTGAGGTGAGTGATAGACTCATGACACGCTCTGAGGCCAATTGGCCGTGCTGATCATGCAATTGATGGTGATGCCTTACACTTACATCACTACAGGAACGGCGGTCTGGCAGGTGGCGGCGCTCGCGGAGATATTTTTATGGACAGTGTGTTTATTGTTGCCTAATCCGTGTGACGTACATTCACTGTGGATGGATTTCATCGTATTCTGTATGGCGTTTACACGTATTGACATGCGCGACTTCGGTCGATGTTTGTGCTTACGCACTACCAAGGGGCCAAGCCCTTTTTTACTGGTTCGCCAGTTATTTTACTTTGGAATACGGTCCAGTTCCCTACTTAACGTTATCTTCGGGGGGAGCGCGTTAAATGGATGGCATTCACCGCGCACGGCGTGTGTGGAGCCGTGAGCTTCCCCCATATTTTTTTTAAATGCAGGAGAGGGAATCCCTTATATCTGGTATTTTATAGAAATATTATGAGCCTTTTCCAAGCGGAAAGGGATTAATTAATAAGTAAAAAAAAAATTGTTCTTAACTTTCTTTGAGCTCTGTCTTCGTGAACGGAGTTCTTTAGCTTATAAGACGCTACCAACAGCTTTCGATTGTTCTAGTAAATATTCATTATTCCAAGAGACACCTAAAAGAACTCAGTTACTATACAAACACAGTAAAAGAACTAAGTTACTATACAAACCCAACGTAAATAAGGGTCCTAACTAAGACGATCACGCTATAAATTTATTAAATGGCCTATATTCAAACTTTTAGAAAGATCAATATATGGTTAATGTACTGTTCGCGTATATTTGATATATTTATAAATGTTATAGGTATATAGATTCTAAACAAAGACAAAAATAAGTAGATAGGGGGGGGAGTGTTACACTATCAACACATTTCGTACCATGAGCGTCGTAAGAGGTATTATAAAATTCAATACGGCTATAAACCGAATGAGATTTGGGCATAGCAGAGTAGCCGCCCACCTGCATCGTTTGGGAATGAAAGAAAATGCAAATTGTGAAAATTGTGGTGATAACTAAAACATTTGGTTTTTCAATGTTGTCAATTTGGTTTGAATAGATTACTCCTCATTAATTCCATTCAAGATATTAACAATGATTAAGTTCCTGAAACTCTTCAAAGTCTATTAGCTGATGAAAAATTCTTCCGACCATTATATTCCTTTATTTCTGGCATTCAAGATATATAAAAATTAAAACAACGTGCTATTAATCAATGGTGCAAACGTAAACAAACTGTTTGTGAATCAATGTGAAAATGAATTTTTGATGAATGTATCGTTCGTGACATTTCTTAAAGATAATAATTATACATTGTAACTTCAGGCTCAGAAGGGCTAGAGTGCAGAGCCAGAAGACAGTTATAAAAAAATACTATTACTCTTTGCTTACACATAATATTCAAATTCTGTGATAGGTGATAACTGATAACAAAATATTAATGTTATTATATGAAAGATACGTATTTTATCGGCCTCGCTCTTCGTGAGAAGCAAAGTAGAAAGTTTATAGTTAATGCTGTAGTAATCAAATTTTATTGTTGAATGTTGATACTTTGCTGTTGGTCACAGAAGTCAAGGGGCTAAAAGGTCACTCTAAAACTAGTTTGTTTTTAAATGAATTAAATAAGTCTACGTAATTAATAATAAAAAATTGAATAGCGTAAGAGAAAATGGTGGCAGGTATTGTGTCTGGACGATTGGCCCTTGTTACAGGTAAAAAAAATCGAATTTCAATTCTATTTGAAAGTCATAGTAAACAAAAAGTGATATTTAAGTATTACTTAAACATATATATATAATGTTATTTGGCCATTAACAACTGATTTTTCTTTCGTACTCAAGTGCCTCCACTTTAAGCAGTTTGTAGAAACCATAGTGGTGAGTGCATTATTTTTTTTCAGGAGCTGGTTCTGGTATTGGTAGAGCAGCATGTCAAGTACTTTCCCGTGAAGGTGCTACAGTTATTGCAGCAGATAAAGACTATGAATCAGCTGTAGAAACCATAAAAAAGCATACAGCCTTAGCTTCAGGGTCTAACGGTATTTACAATTTATGTGGATTTAAACTGCATTTATATCATGTTATATATTATAGGTTATTATATAATGACAAAATTCATATAAAGGTAATCCTTTTTTATACTAGAGTAATTTCGGTCAGAAGGGTTAAAAGAAAACATAAACTTTAAGAGAGTTACTCTCATTATCTGTTTTGGTAAGAACAAAACCAGCATCTGCAATCTTCCCCAAATATTTGTAAAAAAATCCTTGCTTTAGCCACAGATTACTAAATAGTTTACTAAACTTTTGCTTGGTAATAATTTTCCTGCTTATTTTTCCTATAAACAAACAATGTCAATGGTAGAACTTCTTTTCTACCTAGAAGTCTGGCTGGGTAGGCACCACTCTCTTACCACTTTCTGTGGTCAAATAGTAGTGCCTGCACTGTTGTATACCGTTCTGAAGGATATAAAGAGCTAGTAGAATTACAGACTGTGAGGCATTCCATGCATCTGTAGCCACTTAAAATCAAGCAGGTTTGAAGTCAGTTATAGAAAGTTAGGGTTGGCTATAGATGTCCGGTACTTGATTTTAATTATGTTTTCAGTTTAGGAGGCCTCTCAGGGTTAAGCTTGAATTTTTCTGCCGACTTCCAAAAAGGAGACGGTACTCAATTCGACGCATATGTTTTTTTTTATGTGTGTTACCTCATAACTTTTTACTGGGTGGACCGATTTCGAAGATTCTTTTTTTTATATGAAAGCTGATACTTCTCGTGTGGTCCCATATGAATTTGATCAAGGTCAGACCAATAGTTTTTGAGTTATTTAAGCTATTTTTAATATCATATTTAAGTCAGCTGTACAAAATTTTTAATTTTAAATTATTACTTTTACACTGTTTTTGGATGTTGGAAATGTGTTTTGAATTAATCACGACAAAAATAAATTTCACTAAAAATTGCGTTTAACGAAATGCAAATATGTCAATTTGGCCTAGTATTATGAAGTAGAAGTCCGGTACTTCATTTAATTATGTTTCAAGTTTAGGAGGCTTGTCAGGGTTAGACTTGCACCTTTCCTTCTTCCACCTTCCCCTCCCTCCACCTCTCTCCCACCCCCGTACGCAAGTACCGGATGTCTATAGTTTTACCGAAAGTTACAAATAGTTCACTGCACTTTTTTATTTTTATTTTCTTACTAGCCCTAACTGGGATGTTCTTAATGAAGATGTGAGGCAATTACGATAAATTTAAATAAAACTAATTTTACGGATTTTACCGCGTATATTAACTTTATTTTATATTCCCGACGTTTCGGGTGCTTTCCAGCACCCGTGGTCATGGGGGACTGAGGTGTTTGACGTCCTGATATCACAGTTAGCCCGGCTACCTTCAGTTTTTTAATATTAATTTTTGGTTTGATTTACGCAGAATGAGCTTACAGTATCTTGAAGTCTAGCAGTGGTACACTTAGGTTTGGATTTGATTTTATTAATTATGGGATCCCAAGCAGATGGCAGCACCCATCCATCTTCTCTATTGAAATTAGGATGATTTTTAATTAAAATACCCATACCAACAGATATTTAAATGGTGAATCGCACCATCATCGTTCACAGTTAGCTACCGTGGGAAAATCGGGTGCTTCGGGTCCCGTGCCTACGTCACAGTGACCGAGTGAAGCCAGCCACAGTCGAGCGTGTGCCTGCTGTACTACCCTATGTCAGAGAAGTCACAGACAAGGTTGGCTACATCTTGAAGCGAGCTTCCATTAAAACATACTTCAAGCCGCTGAAGAAGATTGCTCAATTTTTACCATCCGTTAAGTGTCATATCCCTCTACAAGATGCAGGAGTGTACAAGCTGGATTGTGAATGTGGTCTCTCGTACATAGGACAAACAAAAGATCTATAAAAACCCGCGTCAAAGAACATATAGCTGACGTGAAGCACCGACGTATTGAGAAGTCTGCAGTTTGTGAACATGTTCAAGATCGTCCCCGCCATTACATTAGATTTGATAGACCACAAATCCTCGCAAAAGAACACAGATTCCTCCTAAGGATGATTCGCGAGGCTATTGAAATTAAAAAACATCCTAATTTCAATAGAGAAGATGGATGGGTGCTGCCATCTGCTTGGGATCCCATAATTAATAAAATCAAATCCAAACCCAAGTGTAGCACTGCTAGACTTCAAGATATTATAAGCTCAATCTGTGTAAATCGAACCAAATTATTAATATTAAAAAACTGAAGATAGCCGGGCTAACTGTGACATCAGGACGTCAAACACCTCAGTCCCCCGTGACCACGGGTGCTGGAAAGCACTCGAAACGTCAAGAATATAAAATAAGTTAATATACGCGATAAAATCCGTAAAATTAGTTTTATTTAAATGTGTAGTGTACGCGTAAATATGAGAAATCATTAAGATAAATTTGTTAAATTTGTTCTTTATTTATTGTCTCATCTCAAAATGGTATTTCAATTACTAATATTGCCTATTAATATTTTAAATACCATTACCATGATACCCCCATAGATTGGTTCGGGGAGGATATTTGCTATAATTGAGACGCTTGGTAAGCAGGTAGGCAACAACAGTAATTTATTTTCTACCATCTTCAAAAAGGAGTTACTTAATTCGACTGCATGTTTTTTTTGTGTGTTATCTCATAACTTTTTTCTGGGTGAACCGATATCGATGATTCTTTTTTTATTTGAAAGCTGGTGCTTCTCATGTGGTCCCATATAAATTTGATCAAGATCTGACCAGTCGTTTTTGAGTTATTCTTAATAATTTTTATTTTAGTTGAAGTCAGTTGTACAAAATTTTTAATTTTAAATTGTTATTCAGCTGTTATCAGGAAGATGCTGCTGATCATCACCCGATTCAGTTTCCCTCTCTCGCCTCTTACGACAACTTTGAGATAATATGGGGATAGTTAATATTCTAACACTGCTTCTACATGGACATTATTTTAATATATGTGCCTAATGGCACAACTTATTGCATGCCTTAAGCGAAAGCGCTAGGTATGTTCTACTATTTAATCTTTCTTTTTTAATGTCTCTTTTAATTTATTTAGTTAAATGTAATAACATAATAATCTACTTACTTTTAGAGATAATTGGAATGTTAAATCCGCATTTAAAGAACAGCATTATTTATTAATGAAATTAGAAGTTGTGTAATTGTGTAAAGCACCAAATACACATTTTAATATTCATGGAATATAAATAAAATTGTCAATGTGTAACATGTGTCATTAACTGAAATTTATGCAAATTCCAGCTGTGGGAGATCATTGTGCTTTTGAATTAGATGTGTCAAACACAAAATCTATATTAGACCTTTTCACCAAATTGCAAAGGCAATATAAGGCACCACCAACAATCATAATCAATTCTGCAGGCATTACAAGGGACAACTGGTTATTGAAACTCTCCGAGGATGACTTTAATAGTGTACATGATGTTAACTTAAAGGTAATGTAAAATTAGACCTACTCCAATAACATAACAATTTTGCATGACTTAAGCGTGAAGCGCGTAGGTATGTTCAACTAGCGCCAAAAATTAAGATTCGTGCATTATACATTTTAAGATTTGTACATTTACCAATATATATAAACGAAAGAGGACGCTTTATGTTATATAGAATCTTGTATAGATTTACATTTTTTTTTTGTCTTCAGCAATGTTTACAAATAGTTTAGCATAGCATAACTTTACCTGCGTTGATGTTGTAATTACTGTATATTGATATTACGAGTACTGTTTACTGTATTGTGTATTGCTGTATACCGTATATTGAGTATTAGTGTTATGAGAATGAGAGGAAGCGCGCGCGCGCGTTAGTGTATGTGTGTTTTGTCACATGAAATCGTATCTAACAATAACATTGTACATATAAATGATATAAAAAGCACATATAAATGATATAAATATCGATCGATGTAGAAATACAAAATATCAAAAACCAAATTTGATACAAACTTGACCAAGATACGATATTATTATTATTATTATAATCACAGATTTTTATTACAATATTTTGTTTTGCTAAAAGTACGCAGAATTTATATATAAAAATATACTTATACATCTTGGACTTTATGGAGACCTGAAGGTGTACTTCAGTATCTACTACTGAAACTCCTCGGTGAGTAGAACTAGGTATGCCGAAATTGTGCTCGTTATGTTAGTTATGATGAGACCTTACCCCCGGACTTGACGGAGTGATTTGAAGGTGTACTTCGGTGAATGCTACTGGAACTCCTCGACGAGAAGAACTAGATATGCCGAGTTTGGGCTCGTTCTGTTAGTTATGATGAGACCTTACCTCTGGACTTGATAGAGTGACTTGAAAGTGTACTTTGATAACTGCTACTGGAACTCCTCGACGAGGAGAACTAGATGTGCCAAGTTTGGGCTCGTTTTGTTAGTGATGAATAGACTTTACCTCCGGACTTGACGGAGTGACTTCAAGGTAGACTTCGGTGACTGGTGCTGGAACTCGTTAATGAATAGAACTACAATTTACATTTTTTTAAATTTTTGCACTATCATATGACCATTGACCAAATCCAAAAGTGCATGGCCATGAGTCATGCACTTTTGGATTTTCCAAACATTATTTAATTGAAGTTTGACATAAAATTATTGGAAAATCGGAAGTATAGTAATAAGGTTATTTGTGAAAACTTGTGTGTATTTAAACTACTTAAAAAAAAATTGAAAAAAATTTAGATATAATCAAGTTATACGGAATTTTTTTAATGCGCTTAAGTCATGCACAATAAGATTTACCAGTAGTTTTCTTTTTGTGAATTGTAACAGAATTCTCACACCTCACTCATCTGTGTGCGATTCAAATCACAATGTTTTTGCCAACGACCCTTACGAATGTTTGCTTGCGTAGTAAAATAAATATTTATGAATGACAATCAGTTAAAATTAAGCATTACCACGTATTTTGAATTTAAAAGATAAATAACCGGCCAAGTGCGAGTCGGACTCGCGCATGAAGGGTTCTGTACCATCGCAAAACACATTTCTAGTAGGGGAGAGTCCCCTTTAATTTTTAATTTATTTTTATTATTTGTTGTTAACTGTCAAGAGATACAGCCCGCTGACAGACAGACGGATGGACAGCGGAGGCTGCTTTTAGGGTTCCGTTAGTTACCCTTTGAGTACGGCAACCTAAAAAGACATTGTTTGAGATTTTTTTAATTAATTTTTTTTCACCATTCGCCTATATTACTTATTCTGAACATTGTCTGTAAATTTGACCGGTTATTACAAAATAACACTATAGCACCACCTGTATCGCAATTCCCCCCTTTTCCGCCATTTTTTTAACGGACTACAGTTGTCACAGTCTACAAAGTAAAGAAGAAACTTTACTATCATTTAGCAGCGCTTTTAATTTATTCTTCTGACCATCGAAGAAACATCTGGTCCTTCGAGCCGGAAAACTTGGCATCATTACATTATTTTTGTAAAATAAGATATATAAATAATTCATTTTTAATTTATTTTACGGATACTCTTATTTTTTTCGATCATTCACTTAGAACTTATGTCTATGTTGAATGTTTTTGTTGAAGTGGCGGTAATGGATTGTAGTATTTGCCACGATTATGCATAAATTCGCAAAATCATTACTACTTTAAATATATTTTTGCCTTTTTCGTCATCATCATCATTACAGCCCTTCACAAGTCCACTGCTGAACATAGGCCTCCCCCAAAGAATGCCACAAAGCACGGTCCTGTGCCACCTGCATCCATCGACTTCCTGCATATTTTACCAGGTCGTTACTCCATCTAATGGGGGGACGCCCTACACTTCGCCTGCCGGTACGAGGCTGCCACTCGAGAACCTTTCTTCCCCATCGGTTGTCGGTTCTTCGAGCTATATGGCCGGCCCATTGCCACTTCAGCTTACTAATCCGTTGGACTTTTTCGTGAAGTACATAAATTCGAAATTAGTCAGCATTAATTCTTTGTACTTATACTTAGCTCATCCTTTTGTAACTTATTATGTATAACTCATTAATTTAATAAACAATAAAATAAACCAAAGAAATGGCTAAAATAAAGTATTTTCACAATCTATATTGTTCTCATAACGTACAATGCATTATTATAAAGTACTGTTGGCAACCCTAGAAAAAAGTTGTGGTATATTGTATTATATTATGTATTAGTATAGAATTGGTTATTATCTATGTTTGTCTGCGCTTTGATATAACTGCATACCAATGAATGTGTAATTTAGTAATAAATAGATCACTGCAGTCTGAGGGTATTGTTATATTTCAATTTTATTTGTTATGTATTTCAGGGCACATTTCTTATTATGCAAACATTTGCTAAAGCATTGACAGAGGCATCACTGCCTGGGTCTATAGTGAATATATCAAGCATTGTTGGCAAATATGGCAATATGGGTTTGTTTTTCTTTGGTCAAATTAAATATATATATTACATAAATTTTCTGTAGTATTTACTTAATTTTTTTTTCTGTTTATAGGGCAGACTAATTATTCTGCCAGCAAAGCTGGTGTTATAGGGATGACAAAATCAGCTGCAAAGGAGCTTGGCAAATTTAACATAAGGTATAATAGTTACTAAATATTGATACAAACGTATTTTCTCCGAATAGTTTGCTATGTATTTGATCGATTTAAAAAATGGTACCATCTTATCGCAACGCAATGAATTAATTAAAAATGTAAAATTTAATAAGCTAAGAATAGAATCGCGTGAAAAATAAAAATGATGTGTCGTCAATTGCGTGCGCTTTTATAAAAAACACAAACAATTGTTTTTTCATTAGAAAAAAAAACGTATAATCCAATTGTAAGACTTCTCCTTTTTTTGAAGTCAACCAAGAAGTAGATTTCCTTAGGGAACTACAATTTGTTGAAGATGTTAAAATTTACTTACAAAATCCAATAAAGAAAGTTCCTAATCAAGTTACTTTGAAATAACCTGGTTTATGTTGGAGAGTGACAAATGATTAAATTCGGTTGCTATTTAAAATATATTATATCTCAACATTTTTTAAAAATAAAATTGAAGTAACAAGCGAACCTACAGTTCACCTGATGGTAAGTGGCTACTGCAGCCCATGGGCACCTGCAACCAACTCCAAATAAAGGAAGTTACAGAAGCGTCATCACCTCTGAGGATTTAGAACGAATGCATCTCAGCTTGCAATCTCTATACCATCCAGACTGCAACATAGTAAAGCACACACTGCTCCTTGGTAGCAGAAATAAGTACGCGGTTGGTTCCCGGATACCTAAACATAAAAAGAATTCTAACACCTATTATCAAACATTTAGACCTGTTTGACAGTTTGATGATAGTCTTCAAAGGAGTCACAGTGTAACCACGTACAAAATAACTTTTATACGTGGTAGAGCCATGCTGCAGCTATATTAGTAGTATAGTTGTAGCACGAATGGGTCGGCTCGACCGGGAAAGGACCACGCTCTCACAGAATACCAGCGTAAAATGGCAGCTTGACACTGCTGTATTTTGTATGGTGAGTGTAGAGAACCGGAGGCCCATTTTACTGAAAAAGAGGCATTCCATCTTAGTCCTCACTTATATTAAGGATAAATGTAGATGTCTATGGGTCACAGCAACCACTTACCATCAGTTGGACTGTGTGCTCGGTTGTATCCTATATTTAAAAAAAAAACTAATTTTTCAGAGTAAATGCGATATTACCGGGTTTTATTGATACACCAATGGTGAAAACAGTTCCAGAAAAAGTGAAAGAGGGTATGCTTAAATTGATACCTTTGGGAAGATTAGGAGACCCCACAGGTAAATATTTTTATTACGTTATGATATTTAATGTTTTATACAATGAATACTTATTTCTACAAAGTTGTTGAATTTCAGTTCAGTTTTATAATATTTAAAAAATCCATATATTTTAAAAATTTTTACTAAATCCGTATAAGGATAAAATATGCACATAAGTAAAAAAATTTTACATGCCAGCTCTGACGCGCGACTGTAGTTCACTGCATAAGGCTGTGGGACCATCATGAATTATGTATTCACTTTTTATTGTTGCTTGTTCATTTATTCTTAACGAGATAACACAATATATTTTCTCTAACAGGTTGATGTTATTGGTTTAAGTTAAGGAAAAAAATTATTCAACTCGTTGAAACTAACACATACATAACAATATCAATTTAGTGTCTTTGTTTAAACAAAAAAAAATTAACTTATATTAGTAACCGTTAAAATAATCAGTTAATTTTTTCAACCAATAACTTTTAAGTATTAAATAAATTCAACCCTTATCGCCATATTTACACGCTTTCAGAATAAAATGCGGGAAAGTATTGCGCGGAGGGATAACATAACTACTTCACTTTATGGTAACGTTAGATTTGGCTCTCCATCTTATTTTTGTACCAACTGCTATAATTTAAAATCGATTATTAAGTAGTAGTCGATGAATTTTGTAGTAGCGGCATAAGAGAACCTATCAAACTATGTGTCAAGGCGACTATGGGATTAGCCAGAAAATTCTTATGGCTTCCGCTAAATTTTCGGTCCGTGATTACGTAAGCGGGATGGTTATACTGCCATAAATCTTATATATGTAATTCCCAGACAGGCGACAGGCAGCTACGACAAAGGTGCACGACGTCTGACACTGCGATCCAATCCTGACGCATGCATCAAGCATGACTAATATGACAAATCTTCCATACAACGACAGATATAATATATTGTAGACTTTTACGTGCAGATAGAGATCACAGAATTAATATATGTATAGGACTTTACACTTCCCAATCTTCTACACACTTAATTAAATTAACATGTGTCAACAACAACCGAGGCCAAATGAACGTCATACATTTTCTTTTAAACATTCACGCCTGTCACCCAGAGGGGTAGGCAGAAACTATGGACTTCCATTTAGCACGATTCTGACACACCTCTCTCGCTTCCTCCACATCCATATACCTACGCATACACGCTCGTCTGTTAAAGGCATTCTTAATTTGATATAATTAATAGAATCAGGCGTTACTTTGCGGAAATCCATTATATAAGAGCTTTTAAAAAAATTTACTTCGCAAGCATTCGCGCTATAAAATAAAATGATGTGTCTTACCTAGTATGAAGAGCATCTCGCGCCCTCCCTCAATTGCGTGCACTATCCCCGTCACCACTGATCCCAGCACCGCTACTCCCAACACCACTACACTAGGCAAGATACACCACTGACGACAAAGTATTGAGGGTGCAAAGGCCCGTTTATGCTTACGGCCACACTATTAAACGGCGCCGGGTCTGGGCGTCTCCCGTTAATTGACGCCCAACTTAATGGATGATAGATAAAAATAGAACGCGCATAGGGCCGCTGCCTGCGGGTCGTCGGGGCGCGTCTGGAGCTGGCGCTGGATGCGACAGCATGCGAGCCACCAGCCGAGCGCGAGGTGCTGCACAACCACCCAGCAGCCCCTCGCGTCCATCATCCCCACCAGACGGCTTGGTGTCGACGGGGTCCGCTCGGACTCGGCAAGCGGCACCCGCCGCTGGTGGAGTACGCCGCATGCGTTGGACAAAAATATGAACATAAATGCATTGCGGGCGTACTATAGGGCGAAAGTGGAAGAAACTGGAGGGATAGCGTATCGGGCTCGGATGCATCGCTTTTTTGCTGAGCTGGAGCCGTCAGTTCCCGTCACAGAGCAAAACCTGGCAGACCGAGTTCGGTACATCATACGCTCGAAAATATTTGATGATGCCGAACTCGAAAGACTACGGCGTGAGGCTATTTCCTCATCGAATGAATATGTTAGCGAAAGAATAGGAATATGTCCAGCTATAGCTGGAGATGCGGCTCCTAAGGTCATAGACCAGCAGCCATATGTGGAAGCCGCCATGGATCTTCCCGCTTTGGTTGATTCAGGCGATAATGGAATGGTCACCCAAGAACTAGAGCAGATGAGGAGTAAATTGGAGGAGGCGATTGTGGAAACGCGCAGTATGCCTCTCGAAAATCGACCGCGACTTCCCCGCATACCCCTAAGCAAGCGGAATCGGGCTGTCGTGAGGGCTCTCAACCCAATGCTGGTGACCTATTTGGAAGCCAGCCGGGACCTTTGCGAGACGGACTCAATTCTTTTTGGCGCCGCACTGGCAGTTTGCCGTATTATTCGCGCCAAACTTCCCACGGCTGGACGCGCTACTAGACAAAGTAGCGCCATCCCAGCCTGGAGAAGAAGGATTGAGGACCGTATCGTAAAGGCAAGGGCCCTCATCGGCAGGCTGATAAGCTTCAGGTCGGGCAATAATAAGCCGAGAATTGTGCGCACCGTCAGGATGGCGTTTGCTGGGACAAATATCAGTTTGTCCTAGCCGGATATAACGCAAAAACTGACGGAGCGCATAGACGACCTGAAGCAGGGAATCGCTGCTTGGGGGAAGCGGATTCGGCGATATACCGAGAGGTCGACACGGTTCAACTAGAATCGTCTCTTTCAGAGTGATCAGAAGAGGCTCTATGAATCATTGGAGCGGCCAATGGTACGTGGAACGGGCCCAGCACGGTGTAAATAAGACGCACGCATATAACGGTTGGATCATGCCATAAATGGCATGCTCAGGTGGACTCAGACCGAACTGAACGCTCTGGACAGAAAAGTCCGCACTATAATGACGTCCCCCAGGATGTATCATCCGAGATCGTCAGTAATGAGGCTGTACTTGCCGCGGAAGCATGGTGGGCGCGGCTTTTTAAGCGCGCATACCATGCATAATCGCGAAGTGTGCAGCCTCCGTAATTACTTTCTGACGAGAGCGGATGATCCATACTATAGGGACGTTATTTCTTGTGATAAAGGACTTACCCCTCTATCCTTAGCCAACGAGCAATGGCAAGACGCGGCAGTACAGAGCATTTCCGACCGGGAGACCGTATGGAAGGAGAAGGAGCTCCTCGGGAGGTTCTACAAGGGTCTACATGAGCCTTTCGTAGACACAGTTGCCTCCCTCCACTGGCTACGTTTCGGTGACCTCTTTGGGGAAACCAAGGGTTTTGTCTGTACGATACAGGATCAGGTTATTAAGACCAACAATTTTCGGAGTTACATTCTAAAGGATGGCACCGTCGACGTCTGTCGAGCTTGTCGCCATCCCGGTGAGTCACTTAGGCATGTCATCTTTTTTTTTTTTTTTTTTTTATAGGAGAGGGGGCAAACGAGCATGCGGCTCACCTGATGGTAAGTGACTACCGCCGCCCATGAACAACCGCAACACCAGAGGAATTGCAGATGCGTTGCCGGCCTTTTAAAAAGGAGTAGGCTCTTTTCTTGAAGGTCCTTAAGTCGTATCGGTCCGGAAAAATCCCTGGTGGTAAACTATTCCACAAGGAAGTTGTGCGAGGAAGAAAACATCTTCTAAATCGCACAGTGGTGGACCGCCAATCATCCAGATGGTGTGGATGGTATCGGGAGTTCTGCCGCGATGTGCGTTCGTGAAATTTGGCGGCTGGGATTAATCCGAACAATTCCTCAGAGCACTCCCCATGGTAGATGCGAAAGAAAATGCAAAGAGATGCAACATCTCTTCGCAGTGCCAATGAATCGAGCCGATCGGAAAGGGCTCGGTCGTCGACGATTCGAGCCGCTCTGCGCTGGATGCGGTCAAGTGGAAGGAGCTGGCACTGGGGAGCCCCTGCCCAGAGATGGGAACAGTATTCCATGTGAGGCCGAACCTGCGCCTTGTAAAGTAGCAGGCGGTGTGCCGGCATGAAATACTGTCCCGCTCTGCTGAGCACGCCAAGCTTTTTAGAGGCCAATTTGGCCTTCTCTTCCAAGTGACCACGAAACTGCACGTCACTCGATATGTCGACTCCGAGGATACCGATACTGGCTGAGGCAAGAAGGGGAGTGCCTTGAAACTGAGGAGATACGACAAAGGGGTTCTTTTTAGCGGTAAACGCGCAAACTTGTGTCTTCTGAGGATTAAACTGGACAAGATTTAGTCGCCCCCAATCCGAGACTTTGTCCAGCAAAGACTCGACTTCAGACACAAGTTTGTTCCGGTACTCGGCGACGTTTTCCCGAGAAATATTGGCCCGGCCGGTGTATAGAGCATCACCAGTGCTGTCATCCGCATAGCAATGAATGTTACCAGTTAGCAACATATCATTGATATGCAGAAGAAACAGCGTTGGTGATAGCACACAGCCTTGTGGAACACCAGCGTTAATAGGCTTGTAGTCAGAACATGCACCGTCTACAACGACCTTGATGCTCCGATCTGCAAGAAAGCTGGTGATCCAATTGCACAATTTCTCGGGAAGCCCATAGGAAGGCAGCTTTGAAAGAAGCGCTTTGTGCCAAACCCGATCAAAGGCCTTCGCAATGTCCAGACTAACGGCCAACGCCTCCCCCTTGGACTCTACTGCCTCCGCCCATCTATGGGTCAGGTAGACCAGAAGATCACCAGCTGATCGACACCGACGAAAACCGTATTGGCGGTCACTAATCAGTTGGTGATCATCTCCGGTTGTTCGGCGCTTTCTAACTGAGTATTTGCTCAGGCACAACTTAGTAGCCAGAATTCTACACCAGGAGCTCGCTCTGAAATACGGTCTCATGGATCGGAAACTGCCGTATTATTATAAGTACTTGCCGGAAGCCGTACTCGAAAATGACCGCGTCAGGCTCTACTGGGCTCTACCTCATCACAGACAGGAATATTCTTGCGAATAAGCCTGATATTGTGCTGATGGACCGGGCACAGTCAAGGATATTTTTGGTCGACATTACCATTCCTTATGACGAGAACCTCGTGAAAGCCGAAACAGATAAGCTGACAAAATATCTGGTCCTGGCTCACGAGGTGACCGACATGTGGGGTGGATTGCCGGCCGAAATTATACCTGTAGTCGTCTCTGCGAATGGGTTAATTCCAGTCAGCCTCTCGGGTCATCGGAGATCCGTGACGGACCGCTCTAAGCTCAAATGCAGAAGGCGGTGCTCCTCGATACCGCCCGCATCGTCCGCCGGTTTCTTTCCCTTTCCCCCTAACCCTCGGCCTTTGGTCTCCCCTGCCGAGGGCTTCCATGTGGTTGGGTTTTTATTTATTTATGTATTTTTTTGTATTTATTTTATTTTGTTAATATTTATGTATGTTTACATTTGCAATTATATATTTATACAGCCCAACCAGATGAGTAAACTATATAGATGCCCCAAATAATAATTATTATTATTATCGTCAGTGGTGTCTTGCCTAGTGTAGTGGTATTGGGAGTAGCGGTGCTGGGATCAGTGGTGATGGGGATAGTGCACGCAATTGAGGGAGGGCGGGAGGTGCTCTTCATACTAGGTAAAACACATCATTTTATTTTATAGCGCGGATGCTTGCGAAGTAAATTTTTTTAAAGCTTATATATTCTTAATTTGGCCCATTTTCAATATATCGCCAATTTGGTCGATAAACTTTCGCCTAAGGCGTCCCTTCTCGACTCTGCCGTTCACCTCTGCAACATAAATTTATTTTGTCACTGTTTCCTCATTCATTCCTTCTACATGGCCAAACCACCGAAACATTCCTTTCTTAATCCTGGTCACAACATCATCTTACAAACCACACTCTTCTCTTATCAAACAATTTCCCACCCTGTCATTCAGATTATTTTTTTTAAATAAATTAAAAATAGCTTCAGTGACTGTAAACTTCTCAACGGTACAAAGTGGCCACTACAGGCTATTGGCACCTCAGCTAATACCAAACACTGGAACCTACAGATGCATAATGACCCTGAGGTTTGAAATATAATGGCCTCAGAACTTGTGATTATTCTCATTTACTTTTCAAACTTTCCTTGTGGTTACTGCGTTACCATTACAGCCTATTAAAAGTCCAATGCTGAAAATAAGTCTCCACCGTAGATTAAATAACATCCCCCATATTTGCCATGGTTACCACGCTTGGCAGGCAGGTTTTTACTTTTATAGTTAATATTAGGAAGACGCTGCTGCCCTTAGACTGGTATGTTTCCCTCTGTCACCTCTTACAACACCCTCGAGACGATATGGGATAGTGAATATTCTTCCACTGCCACTACGCCGTCATTGCCAATGTATGTGTTTCGATTCCTGCCGACCAAGGTCATGATATAGCACGCTAGTTGAGCAGGGTCTTAAAACGGTCATTATGAATTAACCTTGTCGAAGGTTTCATCCAATTCAGATAGTGAGATATAAGGATTCCTTAACATGGCAAATCTTTATAAAATTCTTTTCTTTTTTTTTTGCAGAAGTGGCTGAAATGATCACATTCCTAAGCTCTGATAAGAGTTCATACATCACAGGAACAACAGTAGAGGTCACAGGAGGGTTCTAGTTAATTAAGCATAATGTTATAAACAAATTGTACTACTTCGATGCTTTGAGAAGTTATTTGAATATTTTTATACAATGTTTTTAAAAATATTTTATGTATAGGTTGGAAATGGAACAGTCAATAATTAGTCCCAAGAGTCATCATCAAAACATGCATCTGTGATACTCAAATCAGTTACCTTTAGAACTTTTTGTTTCTATGATATACAGGGTTTTTTAAATAAATATATTGTTATTTAATTGTTTTAATTTATTCAATTTTAATGTAGTTACTACTTGTAATCAAGTTAAGAGGTGAGCTTAGTAGTTGTAGCTTGATTACCCAAAGTCAATATTTTTTATAGAAGAGCAAACGCAAACAAGCATGCGGCTCACTTGATGGTAAGTGACTACCACCGCCCATGAACAACTGCAACACCAGGGGAATTACAGATGCGTTGCCAGCCTTTTAGAAAGGTGTAAGCTCTTTTCTTGAAGGTCCCTAAGTCGTATTGGTCCGGAAAATTCGTATCAGAATTATGTGGAACCCTCCACAGCTGAAGTGGCGGCACAACAGACTGGTGTCTGTTGGAGTCCGTGGAGTATAAACATCTAAGTTGTCCCACAAGAATAAGAGGCCGGCAAGGGGAGGCTAGCAATGAGGGAGTGAATAGAATATAATCATTTTTATTCAATATAGATTACAAGACCGTGTTGTGTAATGGCGGTGTAAGAATATCCACTACCCCATATCTTCCCGTGGGCGTCGTAAGAAGCGACAGAGGGAAACTGAGGCAGGAGATGGGCAGCAACATCTTTCAGATAACAGCAAAAGTACAATAAAATAACTGCGGTTACCGACTCGCCTACCTACCTAACTACTCGCCAAGCGTGGCGAAAGTTAAAATCGTTTTCAGCGCCTACAAGACTGCAATTCAGTGGACGATATTGTTACGAGCTTGAGGTTCGAGACGACTAAAACTACCGATTGAATTACCAAAATTGACACTAATTACCACTTAAAACCACACTAATAATAAAACACGATTGTACTACTATCAATTTAGGTCGCAGTTGTATCGCTTCAAAGTATTCGCTTGTATCGCCCATTCAATATTGACTCGGTCGTGGTCTATACCGGCCTTATATACGAGGGCTGCACTAAAAGTATCGGGAATGGAATATTTCCACTGTTCCTGTCATATTCAATTTTTTTTTAATTGAAACGTCCTTGGTTTTAAAAATCGAATACCATTTATTTATTTAAAAAAAGATTCTCGGTCTTGTCACAAGGTTTTGTCAAACTTGTTTAGTCGTTGAGAAAATGGAACTGACTCGAGAAAATTCAAGAGCGATGATTTATTATGACTCGAAGTGGTTTAACACAAAAACAGTGTGTTAACCGGATGATTTCTGCATTTGGTGATGAAGCCCCATCCAAAACCACAATTTACCGCTGGTTTGCTGAATTTCAACGTGGACGTGTCAAGCTCAGTGATGATCCCCGTCAAGGTCGTCCAAAAACTGCAGTCACCCAAGAAGACGTTGATGCTGTGCGTAAGCTGATTGAGGAAGATCGACATGTGACATACCGCGAAATTCAGGCAACTTTAGACATTGGCATGAGTCAAATACAAATAATCTTGCATGAACAATTAGGTGTAAAAAAGTTGTTTTCCCGATGGATACCGCATTCGCTCTGTGAAGAGCAAAAAGCGGCTCGCGTTACTTGGTGCGTCAGAACTCTCGAAAGATTCCACGCAGGATCCTCAAATGCTGTATACAACATCGAATCAGGTGACGAATCCTGGATATACGCGTACGAAACCGAAACAAAAAACCAGTCACGAGTTTGGGTGTTCAAAAATGAGTTAAAGCCAACAAAAATTGTTCGTTCACGGAGTGTTGCAAAAAAAATGGTGGCCACGTTTGTCTCCAAAACCGGCCATGTTGCGACTATTCGTATATATTCCTCTTGAGGGACAAAGAACGGTTAATGCAGAATGGTATGCTAGTATTTGTTTGCCACAGGTCGTTTCTGAACTCCATAAAGAGAACTGCAACCGCCGCATCATCCTCCATCACGAAAATGCGAGTTTTCACACCGCACACAGAACAAAAGAGTTTTTAGAGCAAGAAAACATGGAATTATTAGACCATCCGCCGTACAGCCCCGACCTAAGCACTAATAATTTCTATACTTTCCCTAAAATAAAGAATAAATTGCGTGGACAGAGATTTTCATCACCTGAAGAAGCTGTGGACGCCTACAAAACGGCCATTTTGGAGACCCCAACTTCCGAATGGAATGGTTGCTTCAATGATTGGCTCCATTGTATGGAAAAATGTGTCAAATTTCGCGGAGAATACTTCGAAAAGCAATAAATACATTTTTAAATAGTAATGTTGTGTCACTTCCTTGATTCCCGAAATTTTCACTGCCGTCCTCGTAGGGCCTCAGATAATTTCCAGAACCTTCTACTGTAGAAATCTAGAACATCTAGAATGTTCGAGTACATATCGGTCCCAAAATTTCTAGAAGGATCTTGACTCTCCTAGTTCTACTACTCGATACTAGAGGGCGCTAGTTGTAACTAGTGTTGCCATGTACAAGATAGTGGCGCGCAACAATATGAATGATAATGAATGACAAATGATATGCCAAAGCTCGTGAATAATAATATGCGGTCGAAGCTAAGTTCTGCAAAACCCGTCGCAGAAGAACTCAATAACTCTTAATCACACTCTTAATCTCATGGCTGTTAGACGGGAAATGAAGCTGCAGTCTTCGGCAGATATCACATCATTCAGGCAACTGAACAGACAGATCTTCAAATGCATGCGGCGGAAGTTACGCAACTTCGACACAGCTCGTCGTATTGATGAAGCGATTGAGCGGCATCAGGGCCCTTAAGTCTTTGCCAGAGATCTGTCTGACACTAAGAGCCAACTGTCGAAGCTGGAGACTGAATGTGGTAGCATTGTTTCCAAGACACCTGAGATTTTGAGTGAGATCAATGTACACGTCATCGTTGGAGCCACACGCAAGTGTGAGTAACGATCCAAGAGCAAGTCTTATCCGACACTATTCCTATGATATTCCGGACGTCAGTCTGCGAGAGACTAAAATGGCTTTTCATCACCTTAAAAACGGCAAGGCCCGGGGCGAGGATGGAATTACGGCGAAGCTTCTGAAAGTGGGTGGAACACCGGTACATGAAGTCCTTCAGAAGCTTTTAAATTCCGTCCTCCATGGTGACAATACACCGGATGCGTGGAGAAAAAGTGCGGTGGTCTTGTTCCTCAAGAAAGGAGACAACGCTCTCTTGAAGAACTACATACCTATTTCCCTTCTGAGCGGCGTCTACGTGCTGTTTTCCAGTCATTACGAATCGTCTCGCACGCAGACTCGAAGAGCCAGTTTCCGAAAAGGCTTTAGTACCATACATACATACTCTTCGGCAAATTGTACATAAGACCCCAAGAGTACAATCTTACACTATGCCTTGCATATGTGGACTATGACTAGACTTTGATTTCGTAGAAATTTGGGAGGTGCTACAGTCTCTTCAGCCGTGCCAAGTTGACTGTCGGTATATCGAAGTGCTGAAGTGTTTTTACAGTATGGCTAATAGCAGATACAGAGTTCGTACTCTGGTTCTGCTATTAGCGCTACTGTACAAACACACAAAACCCGTCCAACTTCAGAGAGGTGTAAGACAGGGTGACATTATATCTCCGAGTTTTGACCGCTGAATTGGAGGAAAGTTATAAGCTACTGGACTAAAATGACCACAGTATCAATATCACAATGGCGAGTACATCACTCAACTTTGATTTGCCTACAATATATTCCTTATGGCAGAATCGCTGGAGGACCTAAGCACTATGTTCAATGACCTCGATAGTGTCTCCCAACAGATCAACAGGTTTTAAAATTAACAGCTTCACTTCAACTGTAATTCTGGTAAACAGTAGATTCAACAAGACTCAGCTGTACCCCATTTAAAACACAACAGGTGAATCTGTTTAACATTAGGTGTTGTAACTTTAATACATATTGTTTTATTACATTTTCAAAGCAAATTATTGACAGCAGTGTACTACTTTTGATATAACATTATTCACTTCGTCATATTTTAATAATTGCCTTATAATTCGGAAAATTAATGAAGTATCATCAGAAAACAAAAACTATATCATGGTTATTCCCTACTAAGTCACATAGTATTAAAAGGAAGGGACTATGAATTGAGCCCTGAGGAAAACTCATAGATACTTCAGATGTGGAAGAACTGCTCCCTCTAATAACAACTGTTTACATTCTATTATTTAGATTTGATGTAATAAGTTTAAGCACTATGTTTTTTACACCATAATATATAATATAACTTCCTGATTAATATATCATGATGAACACAGTCGAAAGCCTTGGAAAGATAACAAAATATACCGAACATCTTAATTCTCCCATGCACAGAAAATATGTTTAATCAGCTGAACACCGGTTTCAGTCTGATTTTTATGGAGCAATTTATTTTTTGTTTGCAAAAGCGTACCAATAAATAAAATATATGGAAACATTACCATTGAAAGATGCTCTGATGGTTGAGAAGTTTTGTTATCCTAGGTCGCCATTTTGTAAAATGTACAGAAGGCTCAGCACAATTTGTATTTTTTTGGAATAATTTTGTATAAATTCACTCATGCAAAACAAGACTGTCAATGTAAGTTACATAATATACATTGCATCTGTAATACACCTAATATCACAGTTCTGCTTACACTGACTAGCTTTTGTCTCAAGTATAATGAACACTTATCATTAGTATGTCCGCCTAGGTCTACCCCTTCCAACACTTTCATTCACACTCGCCTTATACACTTTTTTCGTCAATCGTTCTTCATTCATTCTCTCGACATGGCCAAACCATCTCAGCATACCTTTCTCAATTTTTGTCACTACATCTTCTTTCAGACCACAACGTTTCCTTACCTCACTATTTCTTAGCCTGTCACTCAGTTTAACTCCTATCATACTTCTTAATGCTCTCATCTCAACTGCATTTATTCTGCTTTCATGTTTCTTCTGCCATACCCAAGTTTCACTTCCGTACATGAGTGTCGGAACCAACACCCCCTCATGCACAGCCAAACGAGCCTTGTTAGACACCTTCCGACTGCTCATAAAGGAGTGCAAAGCTCCATTCACCATGTTTCCTGCATTCACTCTTCTTTCGATATCACTCTCACACTTTCCATCTCTTGTAAACTTTGAACCCAGATACACAAACTCTTTCACCTGTTCAATTTGGTCATCTTCAATCACGATATTGCAGTCTGTCACTGCCTCATCTTTTTCAAACACCATCACTTTCGTCTTCCTTACATTCATCTTCATTCCCTTTCTAACAAAAGCTCCACTCATAGCAGTTACCATCTCCTGCAACTCCTCGGCCGAAGACGCAAGTAATACTTGGTCATCAGCATAGAGAAAACATTTGACGAGTAACTCATTCATTCTCAACCCACTTTCATTCTCTTTTAAATCTGTCAAACAATTGTCCATGAACAGATTAAACAGCCACGGTGACGCTACACATCCCTGTCTAACACCTTTTTCGATATTAAACCATTCAGTGTATGCCCCGTTTATCCTTACACAAGCACTAGAATCCCTATAAAGAGATTGCATTGCTCGTATGAGGATACTGCTCACACCGTTCACGGACAGTGCTGACCACAATTCATTCCTCACCACTCTATCATAGGCCTTTTCTAGATCTACGAACGCGCAGTAGACTTTCTTGTTTTTAGCCAAATACTTTTCGGCTATGCACCGCAAGGAAAAGACCTGATCCGTACATCCCATTCCCTTTCTAAATCCCGCTTGTGCATCCCATACTTTCTTGTCTGTTTCATTCACAATCCTTTCAATCAACACTTTCGCATACAATTTACCGACGACGCTGAGAAGGCTTATACCGCGGTAATTTATGCAGTCCTGCCGTGACCCTTTTCCCTTATACAATGGCACGATTACGGCTTTGCACCAGTCTCCCGGTACTTGCCCATTTCGCCAGCACAGATTGAAAAGGCGGTACAGCTGACTAGCCACCAGGCCCTGTCCAGCCCTCAGCATCTCGACGGTAATCCTGTCATACCCTGCAGCCTTACCTAATCTCATACTTTTCAACGCTTTCACTATTTCATCCATGCTTATCTCATTTTCATCAACACTTATATTAGTTTCCGTGGAAGGTGGCAGATGCTGTACCTGCACTTCCTCTCTTTCAAACAAACTTTCAAAATACTCTTTCCATCTTTTTAACACACATTCTTCTCCTTTTATAATGCTCCCATCTTGACTCCTGATTGTACTCAGCTCAGAGGTAGAAGTTTTTCCTCTGGCTGTTTTGATGGTTTTCCAGAAAAACTTAATGTTTGACTGGAAATCTTCAGTGAGCCTCCTATCGAAATCATCCTTTCGTTCTTCTTTCTTTCTAGACACAATTTCTTTCGCTGCTGTTTTCAATCTTTTATACTTCGTTCTTGCTTCCTTTATCTCGTCATCCGTTGCCTTTTGAACTTTTTGGTTAGCTTTTGTTGCTAACCAATCCAACCACGCTTTCTTCTTTTCTTGCACAACCTTTTGTACATCTTTATCCATCCACACGTTATCATTCTTTCTTCCTTTCCTTCTTTTAGCTACCCCGCATACCTCAATAGCAACATTTACGACCCCTTTCTTAAATGTCTCCCACAAATCTTCAATCACTCCTATCTCTTCTATCCCTTTAAAACTTTCTTTCAGTTTCTCTACATACTCGTCTTTCTTTTCTTCTTCTTGTAGATTTTCCACTTTTACTCTGTCCAAAACACTCGTAGGCTCGGCCGCTCGGTGTCGCCACCGTTTAAAGAGGCCACGCATTCGGGCTATGACCAGGAAGTGGTCTGTGTCGAGGCCTACACCGCGGTATGCCCGAGTGTCTAGCACTTTCTTCCTCAGTCTTTCATCCACAATTACAAAATCAATCATACTTCTAGACTCACCCTCATCTCTTGTATACAAATGGATCTTTTTGTGGTCAAACATTGTGTTGGCCACGCACAGATTCCATTCCAAGCATACTTCAAGCAGGCTTCTCCCATTGTCATTCACTCTCTCGTCCCCAAACGTACCCAGAACTCCTTCATACCCATCACGCTTTACTCCAACCCATCCATTAAAGTCCCCTAACATCACGATCCGTTCATTTTCTCCGCATTTATTCAAGACCTCTCTCATGCTATCCCAAAATTCCTCTCTCTCTTGTTGTGTTTTTAAGGACCCACCTCCACGCAGATCCGTTGGTGCATAGACCCCAAGGATAAACAAGCGAGTGAGTCCGACTTTTAACCTAATCCAGAGGAGTCTTGGGCTTATGCATTCATGCTCCATCACACATTCAACCATTCGAGATGAAAGAATCACACCAACTCCCTGACAGCCTCGGCTGGTTTGGGGGACTCCCGACCAGTATGCCGTGTAGGGGCCATGAACCGTGGTGTCACATCCTTTCCTCTTGGTTTCGTTCACGCACAGAATATCAATGCAACGTTCATCCATCATCTGACATACTTCATCTACCTTACCATCCATTCCTCCTCTTACATTCAACGTAGCGAAGCGGCTCTCCGTGGGCCGCTTTTCGCCCCCGCGAGAAACGAGACGTGATGGGTGGCGAACCACATCGCCGCCATTTTGGTTAATTAAATTATTTTTATGACTATCCATTGCGTTCCCACGAATAGCGAGGGAAAGGTTTGTCCCCCCCAGCAGAGCCCCGCATGCCAGGGTAAGGCTAGCCTAATTCTGGGGTCGCCCGGTCCCAGGGCAGTGTGGCACGCTAACGACTAGGCTCGCCCCTAGCCATGCATCCATCCGCGCGGCAGACGTTGGATTGGCGGAGGGTAGGAATAGGAAAAGGGGAAGGATAGGTGGTGTGAAAAGGAAGAGTAAAGTAAGTTAGGGTAGGAAATAGGAAATGTAGGATATTACCGTCCAGGAGGGCACGGAATAGGACAGTAATAGCTAGGGAAGCCGGGGTCGCATACCCGTATACCATACCACAACTACCGGACAGGTAAATTGGGATGAGTATCTGTAAGGATCGTAGCAAGTGGAAAGAACTGGTCTCTGCCTACCCCTACGGGAAAGAGGCGTGATTATATGTATGTATGTATCATTAGTATTAGACTGGACAACATTATAAGATTCTATTTTTTATAAAGAACCTTATTAACTAGTTATTAATAAAACCCAAAAATATTTATAAGTGAAAAAAGTTATATTTTAAGTTTGTGCTTTTTTCTTGCCTTTTAATTTATTCTTCTTTAACTCTGATTTATTCTTCTGACGCTTATCCTTCATAAAAGTTCTATATTCAGTTTTCCTTTTGTTTTCAATTATCTCCTTGTATTTCTTTTTATTGTATTTCTGGAATTCTACATCTGCCAATAATTCATCAACCATGGTCCTCTTTCTTTCTTTCCTTGTCAAACGCTCATTAACATGGTCTAGAGCTGAATCTTCAATGCGCCCCACCTAAAAGAATAGTAATACTTGCTTGCAAAAAAACAAAAAACAATTTATGACAAAATTAACATTCACAATGTAAATCCTGTAGATGAGTAATGAGAAGCAGCAGCATCAGATTGAAGATATTGGGATTGCATTCCTTAACCCGCCTGCTCTGCATAGTGATGTAGGTGAAGAAAGGGCATCAGCCTAGGTTAACAAAAGCCTATTTATTCTTACCTTGAAGACATCCAACCACCTTGTATTAGAAAAATTATGCTAGCTGGCAAATTATTTTAATTATTTTCGCCTTTGCTGCATGCATTACAAATGAAGCAATGCCAACAAAGGTAACCCTTTGAGAGCCAAGCATCTGATTATTTAATGATTAAAATATATCCTGTAGAATATGTTTCTAACTTGCTGTTACTGAATGTAAATATCAAATTATTTATCTGAAAGGTTACCTGAAAATATTTTGGTAGAACTTCCATGTCATTTTTCTTGTAAAAGTGCTTGGGATCCATAACAGACCTCATTTTGAGGACTTGTAAATCAGTTTTTAACTCTTCATTCAACTCAGGGGCTTTCATGTTAAACCATCCAGGTCCTTTTGTCTTCTCTCGTTCTTTCTGTCGGTTTATAAATATAACTATCATTAAAGAATTGTAAAATTTGTTAAAGATTCATCAACTGTTATCATCACAAAGTTAGTGTAAATTAAAAGTAAAATTAGTTCCAAATCTGATTAGCACAGCAATTATGACAATTCTTTAAAACAAAGCCTGTTTTCAGATTCAACGGCTTATTAATTTAGCCATTAAAATATAAGTATATTTTAAGTAGTGATGAAAACACAGCTATTGCAATACTGCAATAAATACACCAGATGGAAGTTAGCGTAGAACATTCTTTTTTTAACCAAACTGTATGCCAATTAATTGCTCCATAAATGCTCCAGCAGAATCCGAAATTGCTCCACCTCTATTGTTATTAGTTAATTTATAATTAATTTAAAAAAAATTAAGTATCGAAAATTTAATTTTGCTATAAAATATCTACTTTTTAAAATTAAACTGTATGCCAATTAATTGCTCCTTAAATGCTCCAGCAGAATCTGAAATTGCTCCACCTCTATTGTTATTAGTTAATTTAAAATAAATTTTTAAAAAATTTAAGTATCGAAAATTTAATTTTGCTATAAAATATAAAATATCTACTTTTTAAAATTAAACCGCATGCCAATTAATTGCCCCTTTAATGCTCCAGCAGAATCCGAAATTGCTCCACCTCTATTGTTATTAGTTAATTTATAATTAATTTAAAAAAAAAATAAGTATAGAAAATTTAATTTTGCTATAAAATATAAAATATCTACTTTTTAAAATTAAACTATATGTCACTTCATTGATACTTAAATGCTCCAGCAGAATCTGAAATTGCTCCACCTCTATTGTTATTAGTTAATTTATAACAAATTTAAAAAAAAATTAAGTACTGAAAATTCAATTTTGCTATAAAATATAAAATATTTACTTTTTGAAATTAAACTGTATGCCAATAAATTTCTTAATAAATGCTCCAGCAGAATCCGAAATTGCTGCAACTCTATTGTTATTAGTTTATTTATAATTAATTTTTAAATAATTTAAGTACCCAAAATTTAATTTTGCTATACATATATGATTAGCAATATCTTCCTGATAATAATTAAAAAATTATAAAACAGGTTGCCGATCCACCTGCCAAGCACAGCAACTATGGCAAATATTTTCTCTATGAGGCAATATATGCAGGAGATCTATGCTCAGCAGTGAACTTTTGATAAGCTGTAATGGTAATGTTAATTCATCATTTATCGTTGGAATGTTTTGTTTTAAAAAATCGGAAAATTTTGAAGTTCTTGCCCATCAGCCATTTATCCATGTATTTCATGAAAACAATAAGCTATAAACCAAAATTTATATTATATATGATATTTGCCGATCACATTTGCTTGTTTCTTCACTTTTTTAAATGTTTAGTTTTTACCAAAAAAAAATTTATCAATCCCAAAAAGTTACATACAATATTATTTATAATTCATTAGTATTTATATTTATAAATCTCTCACACATTTGGCATTTATTATTATAATATAAGTGACAGGCTGAAAGACCAACCTTTCTTAGTGCCCTCAATTTTTTATCACTTGCATCATATTGTGGAAGACGGTGTAACTTTTCTATTCCTGGTTGTAGTATAGAGTTTTGCATTTCCTTATCAACATCTACAGCTCCCAACTTTGACTTAAGTTTTCCAGTATCAACATCCAGTTGCTCAAAATGAAATAGCTTTTTACTCATCTTTTCTTTTTTGAGCATAATAGTATTATTCCAACCCATTTCACTAAAAAAGTCATCAAAAGTATTGTCTATTTTTAGACATTTTAACTTATTTTGAACTTCTTCATCCTCTTTAATTTGTGTATCAATTTCTTCTCTTTTCTTCTGAAATAAATCTAAAATAGCCTGAGTCCTAGTTTCCCTTTCTGTAAAACAATAAATTTTATTTAATAATTATCATTATCAAATTATGTACAGCTTCCATTCATGGAAATCGAAATTTTTACACATAGCATAAATTACTGGCGTGATTAAACTTAGCTATTTTGTCTTAATTTGTCGTTAATTAACCTAATTTTATTAGGTAGTACTAACCTATAAATAGTCTGTCATTTTCATCTAACAATTCTGTTTTTACTTGGAGATCGTCATCGCCGACCGTATCAACGATAAAGTCCATCTTAGTTTTTTATTATTGGTTTCCAAACGTATCACACGGCACAGTTACATTTATTTAATATGTTAAACCATTTTTTAGTATTTGAATACTAAAAAATAAACAAATATCACGCTACCGCATGGATTGTTATTATTTTTATTATTCGCTCGAGAGAGCAGGCAAAGGACCTAAGCCATACAGCCTTCTCATTTTTATTTTGAATATATAGAATTTTAAAATGTAAAGGCCGGAACCAAGTCTTATTTTTCTACTATCCATCTCTTCAAAATCCATAAAGGCCGACGCCAAGTCTTATTTTCTTTAATTCTTCATATTTTCAAAAACCGTAGAGGCTAAAGCCAAGTCTTCTTTATATTATAATCTTTATAAGTTTCAATCCATGTAGATTTGTCAATTCAATATTATTAAAAACAGGGATACCACATTTCATATTTATTTTACAGTATTATGAATAAAATTGCAAAGTGCTAAATATATCTTAGTATTCCTAAGAACATCTTGCAGGGCACGCGGGACGCTTTCTGAATTTTCATAAACTTGTATAAGTTTTTCAATGAGTAGCAATCTTTCTATGGCATACGCTGGGCAGTTAAATACTATATGCTCTGCAGTCTGATCTGCTTCTGTATCGCAGAAGTTGCATGTTGCAGATGATACTACTCGTATTTTCATCCTGGAAAGATGAGCGTTCAGTCGATAGTGGCTAAATCTAAGTCTGCACATTATTGTATAAAATTTTCTGCTATGATATCTCTCGTTGCGAGAAAGCCAAGGAATACTTAATTCTGAATTAATTGATGCATACCAACGTCTTTTTCCTGCTCGAAGCAACAGCATTCCATTGCATTTTCTATTCTTCTTTTAACTGTTGCCTTAAAATTGAATATAAATCTGTATGTGGTATTGCAACACCGGTTATCCTGTCAATATCAGCTGTAACTATACTTTTAGCTAAATGGTTTGCGCCAGAGTGATCCAACTTTGTATGAAAGCTGAAAAATCTGCACACAATCATGATTTTGTCAATGTTCATGTTGGGCTTGTAAAAATAAAGCGAGAAAAATATCGCTGTTTCTTTCCTTCATGTTGTTTTAGATTGCCATTTTAAAAATTAGATACACAAATTCATATTATATCGGAAGAAACTAAAAATGTTAATTCTCTAATATAATTATTAATACATATTACTAATTAATACATATTACATACATATTACTCTGAGATTTGCACAATTAATTTACCTATTAATTCATTTAAATTAAATTATTTAATATTAGCAGAATTCTATCAAAAGAAGCCATGAATTAATAGAAAAAGAAAAAAATGACATTTGATTGTCAACGTCTTTCATATTGAAGATATTTTCTGAAATTTATTAATTCATAGGTTTACTTTTTAATATTTATTATTTATTTTTGCTTAAATTCAGGTATTATCGACTTCATTTTCGTATGTAGGTTTAAGATTTTTTGTGAGATGTTAACTCTGCATAAGATAATGAATATAAATGAATTCATTATTTCAAAGTTTTATGCACGATTTGTGATCATCGTCGAAAGAAAGTAAGTTAAGTGTTGTGCAAATAAAAATCACAAAATCATCTGATCACTGTCTGTAGGTTAGGTTACCTATGATAGGAAAAGAAATACTTATGACAATATTGTGGTAAGTCTATAAACATTTTGAATTTATTGGCCGTTATTTGTAGGGATTATTACTATATTGACTCGAATTGTATCTGTTTCAGATCATGTATTTGGGCTGAGTTCAGTTTTGATCATGAGAATTTTGCTCATTTAAATTTACGTTTTTGTTCTGTGAAGAATAACTCTCTGAATATATCAGTAACAAGCGTGGAAATATTATGTACAAAAGCAATAAAAAACATCAATAATAATTTATAGTTTATATTTAAGTGTCTTCCAGAAAATAAAATTTCATAACTACACTAATTTATAGTTTTATTTTATCCCACATACTAATCTAAAGTATATTGGATTAAGTTTGGTGCAACCTCTCAAATACGAGTATATGGGAATTTACGCCATAGGTTTGTGAGGCTTTAGCCAAAATTACTCGAATATGCCTTAAATAAAAAGTTTAAAGTTACAGAATACGGAGGTTTGAAATTCCCGCAAAAGTTTTATATGGGCGTCCACCGTAGCGCTTTTAGTGTACACTCATAAACACGTGTTTGCGTTTTTTAGTATGAAGTTGGTGTTCTTCTCTTGGTAGAGAGCAATTGTGTTCTGTGGTCTGCGCTTTCATTTCCTTGAACACCAATATGTGACGGAGTCCATAAAAATTTTACTTCCAAATTATTTTCTTTCAATTTCCACCACAAACTTTTGATTTCATATATGATGAAAGACGTTTTAGCATCTAAGTTCTTGCCTTCAGTGCCTTCAAGACACTCATGCTATCAGAGATCAGTAACCATTTATTAGATACATGTGGGTGTTCTTCTATATATTTAAGAGCGATTAAGACAACATGAATTCTGCAGTGTATATGCTTGCTGATGCAGTAATGGAAAGGCCACGTCCAGTTTTCAGATGAGGTATGTAAAATGCACAGGCTACTTTATTTTAACCTTTGAACCATCTGTGTTAATTTGTCGATATTCATCATATGTAAATACAAGTTTTTTTTTTTTATAGGTTAAGGGTTACAAACGAGCACACAGTCCACCTGATGGTAAGTGGTTGCTGCGGCCCATAGACATCTACATCTATCCTCTGTTACGAATCAAAATGTAGATGCGTTGTCACCCGTGAGGACTAAGATGGAACGCCTCATTACCAGTAAAAAGGGCCTCCGGCCACCTGCACTCACCAAGCGAAACGCAGAGGTAAACCTCTACTTCACGCTGGTATTCTGTGAGGTCGTGGTACCACCCCGGTTTGAGCCGGCCCATCCGTGCGACAGAAAAAGCTGCCGCGTGACTCTACCACTGTTAAAAATTCATAAGTTCATAAATCTTTTTTTTTTCATTTCAATTTTTCATCAATATTTATGTGTACACTGAATTTACTTTCATAATTCCCCTTATAACAAGGCCAAGTATGTGTGCTTTTGTGAATATTATATTGTTCATCATATCGTATCACTTCATGAAAGTCATGGAGTATATATGGGGCTGAGTTAGATATAGGAGACATACTATTATAGTAAAATAATACTTTTTGAAAAAGAGCATGATGAAACAAAGAATTAATATTTAATAAAAACCTAAATTTCAGATGTTTAAACCTAAGTAAGATAGGAGGAGTAAGACATTCAGCCTGTAAAGAAACAATAGGAGTTGTTCTCATAGCGCCGGTAATGTCTTAAATTCTTATTTTGTATAATATCTCATTTGTTTACTAGTTTTTTTATTTGATGCAAAACAAAGGAAGCTCTACTCAAAATGGCTCCTCACCAAAGACTTATATAACATTAATAATATTTCTCGATAAGCTCCCCAGTTAGTACTAGCAAAGCTTTTAATACATTAAAGGCCTTAGAAGCTCTGTTTGAAATAGAATTCACGTATTTGGTCCAAGATAAATTATTTGTAAAAATTACACCTAAGAATTTTGCATAACTTTCTATTGGTAAAGATGTATTATTATAAATTATTCTAGTGTTAAATGGGCGAATTTTATTAAATATTACAACTATACTCTCCTCAGTACTAATATCTAAATTTAATTGTGAAAATGAAATGTGCAATTTCTTTAAAGGCTCAATTAAAATGGTTACCAAGTTTTTGACATTTGTTCCTGAGGCATATATGAACAAACCATCTGCATATTGTAAATTAGTAACATTTGATCCTAAATATTATTTAATTTAAATATGTATAAAATAAAGACAAGAGGACTTAATATTCCTCCTTGACAAACACCTTTATAACTGAGCCTAGGACCAATAATTGTATTATTATTATTAACTTTAGCAAAAACTCTTCTTTCATGTGAAAAGTTAAATATCCATTTTAAAGTTTTTTCAGGCATGTCTAAAGACCTCAACTCTGCGGCGAGTACCTGAAGATTAAGGTTATTAAATATACAAGATGTAAGTGCTATAGGTCTGTAAGATTCTGCAATGTGAGGTTTATTCCAGGCTTTAAAATGGGTATCAAACAATCTTCTGTCCAATCGTTAGGAATAAGTGAATGAAACCATAACATATTATATATTTTCAAAACTAGTTCTCTACATGCAGTATTCATATTTTTTAAAGCTTTATATGGAACAGAATCTAAACCACAAGTAGTGTCCTTTCTAGAGTTAACAGCTGAATTAAATTCGGTCAAGGTAAAAGGTTTGGTAAGATAATCACAATGATTATCATTTGAGGAGTGAGGAGTTAGAGGTGATTCATCTGTTTCTGGAGTATATTTTTTCAAAAATTCATTAGCCCATTCGAATCTATGACTGATGGATGTGTTATTATGAACAAAAGTTTTGTTAAACTTTTTAATGTAATTCCATACTCTAGTCAATGGAGTAGATCTATTAAAAGTTTCACATAGTGTTTTTCAGCTAAGCTGTCTTTCAGTCATCAAAGTAACTTTTTTAACAGCTTGTAGTCTTTTAAATTTAATATAATTTAGTTCTGTGAGATCATTGTTAAATACTAAACATGCATTTTTACAATTTAATACTGCATCTTTGTATTTTGAATTCCACCAAGGTAGAGATTTTTTTTTATTTCTGTTAAGAGATTGCAAGTTGATGTTAACATTAAAAGACTGATTGGATGGTGTGGATTCATGCATGGCTTGTTTAACTAGTTCTATTAAATCTGTATAACATTGTAAAGGATTACTATAATCAAAACTATAATTTTTAATTAAATCTTCTATTAAATTTTGATATTTTGACCAATCTACCAACTTTAAGTTTATGTTATTTGATACAGCTGTTTCTTGAAAATTTTGATTATTGACTGTAATTTTTGTCTTTACCGGAAAATGATAGCTGCCTAGAGAATCATCATCACATACTTGCCAC